TAATTTTGGAAAACTTTCAGCCATTGTTTCTTTACATATTCTTTTTTTTTCTATATCTCTTCCCTTCCCAGGATTTCCATTACAGTTAGGTTACACCTTTTGTAATTGTCCCATAGATCTTAGATATTTTGTTCCATCTTTTTCATTGACTTGTTTTCTTGGCATATCTTCAAGTTCATGCATTCTTTTCTCAGCTATGTCCAGTCTACTGATGAGCCCATCAAAAGCATTCTTTATTTCTGTTACATTACTTTCAATTTCTAGTACTTTTTTTATTCTTCCTTAGAATTCCCATATCTCTGCTTATTTTATTCATCTGTTCTTTCTTATAGTTCTTTTTCCATTAGATCCAAGAGCATATTAATCATAGTTATATTAAATTCTTGGTCTGATAATTACAAAATCTTTGCCATATCTGAGTCTGGTTTTAATGTTTGGTTTATCTCTTCAATTATGCTTTTTGCCTGTCAGCAAGTCATAGTTTTGTTGTCGAAAACCATACCTGGACTATCAGGTAAAAGGAACTTAGGTAGATGGGCCTTTACTATGAAATTTATATGTGTTTGGCTAGAAGATAGGCTATGCTATTGTTTGCTGTAGCTGTGGTGTCTGAAGCTAAAATTTCTTCTAGTGTCCTTGTTTTTGTTTCTCTTGTTGCTTTTGGATATCCCTAGTAACTTTTTAGGAGAAGGAAATGGCAACCCACTCCAGTATTCTTGCCAAGAGAATCCCGTGGACAGAGGAGCCTGGTGGGCTGCTGTCCATGGGATCGCACAGAGTCGGACACGACTGAAGCGACTTAGCATAGCATGCAGTAACTCTTTAACTAGGTTCTGAGGCTTGTGCTTCTCTTAGCTGTAATCCTCTATTATTACTGAAAAGCCCCACTGATGTGGTGGTATGGCAAGGTGTGGGGGAAGAAAAGCATGCTACAGTCCTGTGATTAGGGATCAGCTGTTTTGTGAGACTGAGTTGAGCACTTTCCTTCTCTCATGTTGAAGGCTAAAAGGGGTTGGCATTGGGTGTTCCCTGTTCCCTAATGCACATTAGGCTCTGGTAAAATAGCTTCCCTTGAGGATGGATCTTGTTAAGAAAAACAGAATGCTCTGAAAGTATTTCAAAAGGGTTATTTTTTCTCTAGTCATGCAAAAAGCAAGATATTTTCCTCTGATCTTCACACTGATTATCTCTTAGGCTCTTGGAGCTGAAATTTAAGAAAGTTGTGGGGCCCCTCGAAGCCTGAGCCTCATTTGCAGTTTTTAACTCTCAAGCAGGTCCACTAGAGCCTCCAGCAGTTCCTCACTTGCAGTTTAAAATGTTCCTACTGATATTGGTTGACTCCAGCTGTGATGTTGACTTCAACTTCTGGCTTTTGTTCCCGGTAAACTGTGATCCTCTGGTAAGCTGTGACTCTCTATAACTGTCGTCTCTCCCAATTTCAGGGCGGCAGTTTGGCCTCATTTCCCTGGTGGATCTAAGAAGAGTTGTTGGTTTTCACTTTGTTAAGCATTTTTTCTTACTGTGAGTATGGATGCTTCCAAGCTCCTTACATGTTGGACCAGAAACTGAAAATCCTTTGATATTTCTTTGTAAATTTATACGTAAAATACCTATCATAATTGAAAAGTGCTAGTGTCAAAAATCTCAGTGTATTCTTATTCTTCAAAAATTCAGACAAATATACATATTTACTTTCTGTTTTGATCCTTGAAAGAAAAGGAGACTTTTTAAATGTCTATTATCTGCTAAGCACTTCCTTCCAAATAATATGCTTTTTTGTTGTTCTTAGAATAGATAAAGATGGAGAAGAAGAGGAGAACTAAGAATAATATTAAGCCAAGAATCACTTACTGACCACTAGGTCTTGTTATATAGTTTGATGCATTCTAAGTTATCTGAATCTGATGTGTTTCACTCTTTAAAAGGCTCAACACTCTATGTTACTTAGTACTAAAATTTCTGGTTTTATCCTGCCTCCTCCTGAGTCACTGTCTAACTTCCTACTATAAATATGGGTTAAGGGTCAATTGCGTCATTTTCGAGTAATCTTTCAGCCTACTTAGATAGTTCTGCAAAGTGACTTGGAATGAAATTTGAACACTTACAAAGATTAGAGAGTAATTCAATATGATTGTTTGTTAAGGTTTAGTCACATTATAATCATCTAAATGCATTTGTTAATGGATGTTTATAAAGAGGATAATTTAAATTTTTATCCCATAGAGAATTTTGCTTTTTAGAATTGTTAGTTAACAAAATTGATTAAATTAGGGCATACTATTTAGCGCCTTTTTGATTATGTGAAAACACAAGCTGAATATTACAGCTTTCCAAGTTCACATGTGTGGGTAAACACAAATATACATACATACACAGATAAAATACTGTATTTTATATATTTTTGAAAGGAAAAGTAAACTCTGAGCAAAGGTAATGACTATTCAAAAATATCTTTGCTGATTGGATTAGCATTCTGCTGTAAACTTTAAAAAATGACTTAGATTTGATATTACAAAAGGCTCAGTTTTTGGCTGTAATAAACACTATACCCTTCAGGTATGATCACTGGCCAGAGAGAATTTCTTACCAGTAAAATAAAAAGGAAACGGTTGAAAATCTCTGCCATCATGCTCATATACGAGTGTGGGAACACTGAGTAGTTTCACAGTTGAAAACAAGAATACATGTGAATTTATATTAACATAATAGGCAGTCTTGGATAGTTGAAACTTGCTGACCTTTGGTAGAAGCCCAAGTAATTACCAATAGTAGTGGCACAAATTTGGAGGTAATAATAATGATAAGAATAATGAAAACACAACCCTGACAATACTAATGGTTAACATTTACTGATAGTTTACTAAGTGCCAGGTATCGTTCAAAGTACTTTACATGTACTATCTCATTTAATCATGCCCTGATTCTGTGGTTTAGACATAAATGAGTAAACTGAGGCACAAGTTATATGACTTGGTAGTAAGTATCAGAGCTGATGCTTAAGCTTACTCTTAACTCTGGAATCAGTGTTCTTAACACTGAGTTTTTAGAACATTAAACAATTTTTAATTTACAGAGTCATTCTTTTCACAATTAAGAAGGAAAACATGAGTATTTTTGGTCCTTTCCTTTTTTCAGGAATTTTCCATGTTACTTTTCAAGAAGACATGTCATTCACAGTTGTAGATCCGGGGGGGCGGGGGGTGGGTAAGTAGCATTAAGATCAGTCTTTAATCCTATCTCTATGGATTTGCTGATGAGTTAAAAATAGGTGTTATGTGAATTGATTTTTGTCTTATCAGAGTTTAATCTATGTAGACCATTGTTATGTAGACCATTGTTGTTACATGACAATATAATTGACATTTACTCAGATAGCCACATTAATTTATAATGTGAAGCCAGATTGTAGCAATGTAACTAACAAGGCAAAGGTGACAAGTAAAATAATCTAGGGTCAAACTGGAGATATGTGTGCAATGCTCCTTTGTTGGACTCAAAACACATTTCTTTTTTATTTCAAAGACTGATAGGCTTGAAAAGTAGGCTTCAAAAGCCAAGTAGTGATTAAGTCTTATCCAGTAGCTTGCAAAGTCATGTTAGCAAACAGGCAATACTGCTGCCACTGAGTTAACTCTGGTGCAGGTCCCCTGCTTAGGTCTTGGTAAAGGTTTTCTTTCCTTCTTCCTGTCTACACGGTTATCTCAATTCAAGGTGGTAAGTGTCAAACTAAGGGTCATCTTCGCCTTTTTCTAAATACATCTAAGATTATTTTCTACTCTTTGAAAAGCAACAAGAATATAATTGTCCACCTAAAGCCATTTTTCCTACTCTTTCGCCCCCCCCCCGAAATTCAGGTTTATACTTTTATTAAAGTCACTTACACCTATTTGTATTGCTTAAAATAATTTCAGATTTTAAGAGTTCCTGCTGCCTTAACTACTTCCCTTGAGAGGCTTACAGCAAGAAGAGCTTGTTTATTTTATATTTGCATTCGTATTTACTCAGGAATCAAACTTCATCACAGAGAAACTTAATGGATAAAGAGAGTACCCTAGTGTTATATGGCAAAGGTGCGGTCGGTGACATGGCCTGGTTGGGTAACCTGGCAAGAAAGACCCCACTGTAACACATCTGAGTAGAAGAACCAAGGGTTTGCTGCCACGACGCAAAAAGTCTGCTTTTTTGAACTGGGACTTGGCAGAGCGGGCAGCAACCCTGCACAGCCCAGCTGCCGAAGAGAAAGAGAGCTAGAGGCTTGCTGCACCGACAGCAGGAAATGTGATGCAGGCTTGAGACCCAAACACCGAAAGCCCTTCTCAGCAGCGCCTCCCAAAGCCAGCCACTGCTTTCTCTAGGAGAAGGCGCAGAGTCCCCAGACCCAGACTGGCCGCACCCCATCTCCTTTCTCTTGCCTCTGCAGCGGCACACAGACGAGCACGTGAGCGCGGTAGCGCGTCCCAGCTGTGCCTCAGCTGACCGCCCCCTGATTGGCTGAGACAGACGTGGGCTGGGGTGGGAACTGGCCGCCTGCGTCGCTCGCCATTGGCTCTCAAGGAACCCGCCTCCCCCTCAGGTGAGGCGGGCTTGCGTGAGCGCGCGCCGGGCTCCGCGGGCGCGCGCGCCTCCAACACTCCCCTCCGCGTGCGCGCCCCCGAGCGCGCCTCCGCCCTTGCCCGCCCCCTGCCGCTGCCTCAGCTCCTCAGTGCACAGAGCCGCCTCGTCTGAGGGGACGCGAGGATCGCCCTCGCTGCCGCTTTGGCCAGTGCGTTGGCCCGGGCCCTGACAAGCTGCCCCAGGGGAGGCTCTTCGGAGCCGGAGTTGGACCTCTGCGATTGCCGTCTGCTCTCCCTCCTCTGATCTCACGAGGGGTTTCCCGCCTCGCACCCCCCACCTCTGGACGTGCCTTTTCTCCCCTCCCCGCGTGTGGAGGGAGCCAGCGCTTAGGCCGGAGCGAGCCTGGGGGCCGCGGGCCGTGAAGGCATCGCGGGGACCGATTCACCATGGAGGGCGCCGGGGGCGCGAACGACAAGAAAAAGTAAGCCCACTCCCCTCCGCCGGCCGCCTTCTCCCCCCGGCGCCCCCGCTCGCCACCGGGGGCTCGCGGGCAGGCCTCCGCGTTCCGGGGGGCCGCCTTTTTGTTTCTGCCTCTCTCCCCTCCCCTCTTTCTCCCCCAGCCTCGCCGGCCGAGCTCCCCACTGTCCACGTCGCCATCTTGTCGTGGGGGGTGGGAGACGCGTCTAAAGTGCTTTCAGGGACCGGGGGCCGGGCCCTGCTCGCCTCCTTTCCCAGCAGCCCGGGCCTCGCATCGCCCTCCCTACCCGCCTCAAACCCCCCGTCTGCCTCGTGCCCTGCTCCGGGTGGAGTTCCCCCAGCCTGAAAACCCCGGGAAGAGAAATGAGCCGCAGCTTGATCGCCGCCACTTGCACCCGAGCTTCCGCTCCTTCCCGCCCCCATCCTCTCCTGTTCCATTGAAAACTCGGCCCCGGGGCGGCCCCTGCACGCAGGTCCTGGCTTCAGCGTGGGTTCGGGGCCCTTGGTTTCCGACTTAGGAGCTCGGCGTGGTTGGTTGGGTGAGATCTTGCTCTGCGGTTGTCCGGCCAGGCGGGTGTCTTTGCCTTTGTGCATTAGGGATTTGCCGCGATGGCCTGGGATGTTAACTTTTTCGTTTGCACGTGCAGGTTTGGTTTGGTTTTGTTTTAATCGCGTTGAAAAACTTGCTTAGAGCAAGAGTCGGAGTAACGGGAATTTAGGGAAATAGTAACATTTTAATGAGAACATCAGAATTGGATACCTGTGTTTCTATCACCTGTCAAGAGAGCCCAGATGTTATAAGTGAATTATATGCTTCATTCATTCTTGAAAATATCTTAGTGAAAACGTAGCGGGTGGCTAAATTCAGGCAAACACTTTTAATGAGCTTGGTGGGAGGTGGGGGACGTATATGGGTATATGATCAGAGCAAATGAAATGCAGCACTAAAATGTGAAGTTTTTAGATTGACCCGACTGATTTTTCTGAAATTGATGTATATTAAAATATACAAGAAGTAAATAAATAACCATCTTGTTATAACTTAAAGTTTTAAAACACCTCGAAGTTTGAGTCTTAACTGGTATATTATAGGATTAAGAATTGTGAGCCCAACCAGTGGAATGAAGTGCCCCCCCCCCCGCCCCCACCACCTCCCCCAACTTTTTGGTCCACTCTGGTATTTTAACCTTTGAGGAAATTATTTTAAGGAATTGAAGATTTATGCTACGAGTTCTGGTTAGTAGGCTGGCTTTACTGTTAAGTCCTTGCACTCTTCTGGGACAGATTAAGTGCCCTAATCAGTATCAGCAGAAGATAAACTTGTTTATGTTCCTGCGATTTTGTGAATTCTTTTTTGGTCTTTCTCTAATAGAATGATAGGTTCTCAGTTTGTATACACCAGAGAAAGCGTATATAAAATTTAAAAAGTGAGTAAACAGATCTAGACCTAATTCCAAGAGTTGCCAGGAATTAATTGCAATTAATTTTGTAGAGGTGATTTAACAAGGCTTTTGATGAAATGATGAGGATGCTGTAAACCTAAGGCACATCACCTCAGTGTATTGTCAATATTTTGTCCTTAGTGCTAAAACATATTTAACATTGTACATGAAGTTATGCATCAGTCAGTCCTTTTTTGTATGCTATATTGTACTTGTATCTCCTTTGCAGTTCATAAGTTGAGAAGAGCATAAGCAGCTTTAATATAAATGAATTAATTACCTACTGTGCTTCACTCCCAAGTCTAAACCAGTTCTTAATTTTCCTCAGTCCCATTTGTTATTTGCAAAATACTCTCATTTGAAAATTTAGCATAAACTTGGATTGGATTTAATGTTTCTTATTACAGAAGTTGTTAAAACTGACAAGTTAAACACAACAAATGGTACTCAACAACTTATAGGTGCTGTTTGTTAAAGAGGTCTTTTTTAAAATCCTTTTCTAACTAACAATTTTAAAACTTTTTAAAAAGAAAACTGGTAGATCGAGGGGCAGAGATTTTTCTCCTTTGAATTTTTCTACTAAATGAGCCCGTAGGGTGCAGGTGAGGGAAACAGATTTATCCTTTTTTAAAGGAGGGATGGGAAACTCAAAAGCTAAAGGATTAGAAGAAATCAGAACAGAAGTTGGGTATGGTTATAATAGATTTCACATAGGAAATTTCATGTTGACTGCTTAGTAACAGGGATTGGACTTAATAGCACATTAATATTGAATTTTAGATTTCAGTGCACTGTCAAGAGGTTCATTATTGTTCTCTTTTAGGTTTCAGGGCAAATTCCTTCAGAGTTTTCAAAACATAGTTGTATCATTAAAATCTCTGAGAATGGACATTCCTTAACTTCTTAACTTCGGTCATTAAAAATCAAGAACCTCTCATTCACTAGTGAACATTTTTCTTGTTACAATTTTACTTTGATTTCCTCTTTGAAGAGGTTGTCTGATGGTTAAGAGCTTAAGATTTGAACCTGACACCTCTGAGTCCAGCTTTTTACTTGTTAGCTTTGTGAGCCTGGGCAAGTTATTACTGAATGCTTCTGAGCTTATTTCCTCCTTTTGAAATGATGATAATAATAACAGCCATCTTAGTGGTTATTGAGAATATTAAATGAGATAATGCCTAGTGCTTGGTTTAGGAGTTTTGGTAACATTATATACTTGAAAGTAGATGTTACTTGTTAAAGTTTTAATTTGAACTTCCACAACACTTAAAAACTTTTTTTGTTTTGTTTTGCAAGTCCTTCCAGGTGTTTGTGTTACTTCTTCTTCTTTCTACTTTCTTTTCTTTATCTCCTAAAAATGAAAACACTATCATTGGACCCAGAAGTTTAAAGGGATTCTTTTTAGATAAAACAGTACCTGAATTATGTTGGCATCTGGCATCAAGTATTCTTGAGCATCTGATCTAGTGTTTACCATAGGCCCCCTTTTTTCACATTTCCTTACCCCCTTGTTTCCTCCCTAAATAGGCTACTAAAAATTTTCTCTGGACTTCTGAGACTGGAGTCATAATCACATATACTAGTCAGTTCATTTTAGCAGGGTATGTGCAAGGCACTGCAGTCTTACAAGTGGCAGTAACAAACCTTTTTCTTTTTTTGTCTTAATGCCAGTTTGGAGTAAACAGTTTTGTAAATATTAATCTTTCCTAAATATGATGAGTTGATAAAATAAGTGTGGTAAAACATATGAGGCTGCATAGTGAAACTGTCCTTTACTTATGAATTTGTCCAGAGGTAAGATCATTGGCTTTTATCTCAAGGCAAGGCTTCAAGTCTGTATTATTTATCTGGTTTTTGTAGCTCAATTTGTATAATATTTATATTAGTGCACTCTTCCACATGTATGTGTTTACTGAACTACCATGTTGTTTTAGATTAAGTGTGGTAGTTCATTACTGTGGTCCACTACGAAGCATTTTGTGCAGTTTAGATAACATCAAATCTTTCTACCTATTGACTTTCATTGTCTTTGAAGCTTTATTGGGGTTTGGGCTCAAGGTAAAGATTTCGTGGTGACATTCTATTGTTGTATGTTAAGAATGGTGTGCAGAAGGCTGAGGGATGTCTCTGGACTGATTTTTTTCAGAAGAACTTACGACAGTCTTTATGTTTGGTGGTAAAGTAAAAACCGTACCATGCATGGGTGTTAAAGATTTGGGTTAGATTATTGTGCTTGTGTACAGACTTGTCCTCTTAAAATATAATTTTTAAAAAGTTAGATATTTAAAGTACTATATTCTTTCCTGTCTGAGATTGTTAACATAGGACTGGTTTTCCAAGCAGGAGAAAATATGGACTTAAATGTGTTGTTGGATTAGTTTTCTATTAAGAAATTGATTTTAATTCATAAGAAGAATGTTCTTTTCCCCCCCTTGTTTCTTTCTTTCTCTTTTTTCTTTTATAAACATTGGGACTGATTATCCAAGTTGGTGGATTTTATACTCAGCCTTCTGCTGTTTGTGATGTATGTGTTGTGTGTTTTCTGCTTAACTAGAGGGTTAGAAAAAAATTTGAAACTAAGATAAGACAATCTTCTTGTTGCTACTTTTGGGAAAAGTATAATGATAATTTTTAAATTTGTAATAGGCCTTGGAATTTTAAAAATAATTGTATCTCTGTCTCTTGGAGCATCAAAAAATTAAGTATTTTGTATGTGTATTGAGTTTTATATTAAAAGTTGTGTTTTCTGCAGTAAAAAATAACAAACTCATATCTTTGCCAGATACGATTCTTTTAGAAAAAATATAAAATTAATTCTATAAAAACATTTATAAGTGATTACCTTATGACTTTTTTCTCCCAAAGCTTTTGAAATGATTATGGGGTTTTTTAAGTTGTGGTTTTAAAAAACAACATAAAATTTCCCATCTTCACTATTTCTAAATGTACAACTCAATAGTGTTATGTATATTCACATTGTTGTATAACCAATATCTGGAACTTTTTCACCTTGTAAAATTGAAACTCTTAACTATTAAACAACTATCCCCAATTTCCCCTTCTTCCTACCTTCTGGCAACCGTCATTCTGCTCTGTTTCTATGAGTTTGACTACTAAATTCCTCTTATAAGTAGAATCATACAATTTTTGTCATTTTGTGACTGGTTTATTTCACTGGGGCTTCCCTGGTGGCTCAGATGGTAAAGAATTCACCTGCAATACGGGAGACCTGGGTTCAATCCCTGGGTTGGGAACATCCCCTGGAGAAGGAAATGGCTACCTACTCCAGTATTCTGGCCTGGAGAATTCCATGGACAGAGGAGCTTGGAAGGCTACAGTCCATTGGGTCGCAAAGAGTTGAACATGACTGACAAATTTTCAGTTCACTTATTTCACTTAATATAATGCCCTTAAGATCACCCATGTTGTAGCATGTGTGAAAACTTTCTTCCTTTTTAAGGCTGAATAATGTATAACACATTTTGTTTATCCTTTCATCTTTCAATGGACACTTAGATTATATCAACAAAAATAATCAATAAACAATCTATAGTAGACATAG